TATGTACATAAACAATAGACTTGTTAGTATGTTACCCTATCTATTTTATCCTAAATACTTGAAATGAACCAGAAAGTACCCCGAAAGATGTATCTTGTGGTAATACCGTTTTACTTAATCGATAGGAAACAGTTTTCCTACAGTTTTGACTTTACAGTTAAATCGTAAAGTGTGTAATCTGCATGGAGCTACGATTTACTGTATTAGTAAAACTGTATAGTTTATGGTACCGATTATCGTAAAGTCCGTACCCTGCATAAGACATCAATTTCCTAACACAACAATTAATTATTATTTGACAATTCTTCCGACTATGTTGTTTACGTCGATATTTGTTTACAAATAGCTCGAGGAAAAAATCAAGACCACGTTTTACTACACGTACGTTAAGCCATTTATTTGTTTGAGGTTGGATTAACCAGTTGTAGTGACGTCTAATATTTTTATATGAAACTACGTGTATGGGTGCAAATCACTTCTGACCATTTCTAATTCATTGGGGGACACCTATGTTCAATAGGTGACGTCTTGTGGTTAAAATGATGATGACGATAATGGGACGTACATAAGCTAACGGCTTGTCTGATTATAAAGAGTTACCGTAATCTATGAACGTTTACAGAGGTATCGCTCACGCTTTTACAACACCTTAAGGTTTTTTTGCTTTTAAACCCCACGTTGTAAGCCATAGTCTTTTAAGATAACATTAGCAGGTAAGTCATCCCACTGACTGTTGGAAACATTTAGACTACCAGTTACTCTAATCTACCATTTTGTGAGAGATTTTCAACTTTATCGTGTTCTTAATAGAGTCAACAATCTGTTGACGTTTGACAATTTTTGGGAGTTCATTGTGTGTCTCTTACTCAAGTTATCGAGCATGTTTGCTAAGTAAATCGACGAACAAGCAGTTTGTATTAAAATTCATGAGATTTGCGCCATCATCCAGATCATTGGCTTTAGTCATTGGTTCATCAGTATTATCATCATGTGCTGATCCCAATAGGTGTGTTTCGTATGCGTTTAAAATATCTTGATTACCTCATTGGACTGGTGTAATTACGTGATGTCGTCTAAGTACAAGTTTACGTGTTCGTTTACTGATTCAAGTAAATTACTCTAACGAGGTTCCTAGTTATTTTAAAATTGTGATTATTAAATAGTATTGAGTTTGGAGTGTTCTGTGATTTCTTTTCATTATACGTACTGTAAATATTTGACGTATTTTTTACCTAAAGTCGTGATCTGTTGATAATGTTAAAGTGCTAATTGTGTATTTCAATGTCATCTTAAATTTAAACAACTGATAACTTTTGATAAGAGAATGAAATAATTATGTACATTGTACAAAGTTGAGAGAAAATAAAATAAAAGTAGAATCATTATATTTATATAGCATGGTATTTAGATAATGATATTTAACTAATGAATTTAGAAATTAGCACTCTCGTAAAATTTTATAAGTACCGTAAGACTTATAAAATTTTAAAAGAGTAAACTTAATATTATAAGATTTTTGCAAATTTCTAACAAAGTATGAACCAAGTTTGCATATAGACTTACTACTTTATAGCCATATTTTACGGTCAACTTAATGTACATACATTCGGATGACGTCACATCAAAACAGGTGTTATTGGTGTTTACACAAGATTAACAAATAGAACAATTCTCTCCATTAACACAACTATTTAATTCAACTACTTAATAGGTCATTACTTTGCAATTAACTTACAACAACGTCTATGGTGGAGGTAGAAGACATGTCAATTGTGAAAATTCCATCGCCACTCGACGCTGGTACCACTTTACCACCTCGTTTTGGCACTTTGAAGCACCCCACTAATTTAAAAGTACGCACCATTATCACTTTTTACTGAAAGCACTTTTTTAATTCAAAAACAGTTGTGTTTACACTCCGGATAAATCAAATATGGCGGTAAACGCGATGGCCGTGCGAACGCTACGCGCATGCGCGATAGAATGACAGTTTGTTATTATGGCGCGAACGGACCGGTGAGTTACAACCAGCCAGGTAGATTTTTTATCTATCTATCAGGGACTTTATGGTTGGAATAGAAATATAACCTTTTTGAATAGTTGGTGTTTCTAACAATGAGGATTATAACAAACCCGTTTTTTTATTCCCACGGTCATGTTTTTTTTTATTTCGATTGAGTTGTTAAAATTTTGCCTGTTTTGGGCCGTCTATGTTTTTATTGTATTAGCTGTAGGTATAATGATGTGATTCATTAATAATGCGTTCGGTTGATGGGGATTGCATAATCATACATAACATCACGCTTTTTATTTCCTGGAAGGCTTTTTTGTAATGCTACATGGTCGATGTTATTGCAGATTACTTAGTTTAACTCGTCGAGTACCGTATTTATAGACACAATTAAAGAACAATAGGTCGCGGTCACCGGTGACCGCTTGGTAAACACCAAGCGGTCACCAGTTTAATAACCATTAGTTCCATTGTTCCAGACCTTGAACTATTGGTAGAATTTACGAAACACTAATAACATAACAGTAGCGTAGGTACCCTGGGATTTACCGAGGCAATTCTAGTTAGGACTAATTTTATTAATGAAAACATTCCAAAATATCAGATATAAATGGAGACCATGAAAAATATTTTCCATTTAAACCGAATTAACTAACTAAAAACAAAAAGAGATTACCCAAAAAGTAATTTAAAAAACCGTTACCTCTTATTGTAATAAACAAAATGAGGAGAAAGCAGGTAACATTGTAATCTCATTAACAAAATTCATTTGTTTATCCTCAAAAAACACGTTTTTGTTAACTGACAACACTGCGGTCGCGTGCAACACTCGCCATTTGCATATTATAAATCTCGGTGTTGCCAAGTGAAAGTTATGCAAGGACATTGATCGCAAATCTGCACCGGTGCGTGATTCATCAAGCGAATGAACTGGTGGTTCGATTCTCGGGAATGGAAGTATATTTGAAAGTATAAGATAGCAATAGTACTCTGACATGAATGCTGTTACTGGGCAAGCACTGCTATGTCTGCTCATTGGTCAAATGTCAAGCGCAACTGTGAAGCTGAGAGTCTTATGTATGTATCCCGGATCAGGCAAAAAGAATTAGCCATTGGTTTTTTCGGTTCACTGTCACTTTTTCTATTGAAGTGTATGTGACTATAAATCAGTGAAGGGTTTTATTTATTTATTACATCTTCGCCAAAGATAACACTGAATGGCGGACTTAATGTCTTAAGGCATTTTCTGATAGTCAACCATAGGGAACTGCAGAGATGTGACTAAAAATTACCTCATTCCTTCTCCTGCACTTCGAGCCGGAGCCTCGGTATTCCGTTAGTTTAGGTTACTTACTGTGATTTATATTGCCTTTTTTATTCAGTTATTTGTATTCACGTGTTAATGAACGGTAAGTAGGCGTTAATATGATAGGAACTGATCGATTGAAGATCTATTTTTGGTCAGGTGACTATTTGAAGTTTATTCGAGGAGGTAATTGAATTTATTATTTAACCTTCTAATAAAATATTTGTAATAGAATTTCCATCGTTTATTTGTTGCTATCTACTTCTTAATTGTTTAATAAGTCAACGTGTTTTTCTTTATAACAAGCACGTACACAATATAACACACGTAAACCAAGAATACAGTAGTATCATACAAATACTAGACAAAATATCGACATATAATAAAATCTGTCGCGATATAGGGGCATGTGTGGTAGAGCCACGATTCAGCACGAATGGGCCAGATTGACCGGTATGATACCACGGCCTCACAGAAAACCGACGTGAGGTTACCGGAAGGTCGATTACCCCAATTTCCTAATCCCCAAAAGGCCGTTAACGCACTTGTAACGCCTCTGGTCTTCCAGGTGTCCATGGGCGACGCCGATAGCTTACCATCAATATTCTAGTAGTAATCTTACCAACCTATAATAAAATATGATTGAGGAATTCTCAGGGTTCGAGCCTCGGACCCATCACATAAATATGATTGGAAGAGTGAATATAACTAGTAAATGGTGTATTGTTAATAAATATTTAGTCACTTAAGTACAGTCAGTCTCAGTAGTAAAACATCGCCAAACAAAGTTTACTTAGTGTTAAAATACCAGTACCACTGCGCTGACTACAAAATTCTTTAAAACCAGTTTCCGAGTCGAGAATGCGAGATATTTCGCAATGGCATCGATTATACATTACCATACGTCCTTCTTCTGAGAACAAGTAAATCAATGAATGAATCACATACGACGCCATTTTTCCTGCATAAAAACAAACTTAATATTAGTCGTTCTTTTAAATTCTGTTAAGTGTGGGAGAGCCATGCTTCGGCACGAATGGGTCGGCTCGATCGAAGTAATACCACGACATCACAGAAAACTGACGTGAAACAACGCTTGCGTTGTGTGAGTGAAATTGCCGGAGGCCTAATTATCCCCCCCCCCCCTTCCCTAATCTCTCTAATACCTGAATCCCCAACAATCCTCGAATTCGTAATCCCCAAAAGGCCGATAACGCACTTGTATCACCTTCGGTTTTTCGGTTGTCCATGGGCGGCAGCGATTGCTCACCATCAGGTGATCCGTCTGCTCGTTTACCGGCTTAATCCATAAAAAAAACTAAATTTTAGTTGTGTTCTTTTAAATCCTGTTTTAGGAAGGTTTTAACCACAATAATGTTGCAATTTCAAGATTTCGTGTTTAGATTCGATTCGGTTGTTAATTTATTGTATCGATTGTCTTTATTTATGTTTATTAGATTTTTATTTAGTATTTTTTTATGGGTTAAGATTATTGTCTGAATGTTTAAGCCGAATTCTTCTTGATCAAAAGATGTTATTGGACTATAATAAGAAAGGTATAGCTTATTTGAATTGAATTATGATTTATTTGTTTACAGACATAGATTTAGAACAAAGTAATCTAATTAAACTATTTATAAGTCCATACATGGCCCATTGACATTGGATAAATATAATAAAAAATTAAAACATTCGAATAGTCTCAATTCTTTCAAACAATTTGATCTTCATTTTTATCATGCCCAGAATCCAGTCAGCGGAAAGCGCTACAAAGCGTATGTCGTGTTCTGTGTGATGACCTTCTACTCTGAAGTACATCTGAAACAGAGATAAATACAGCGCTTTAGTCGCTATTTTTTTTCATTTGTAACCTTTTCTTAACAGCATCAGATAAAACGCTGTGTCTTAACTTGCATGATTTTCAGTAAAAAATTGAGTTATTCGCTCCACCACTACATTGTTTTGTCTTTTTGAGCTTATAAGAAAAGCGATAGATGAGGTCAAAGAAAATTATTCATAAATACTTTCTGTACGTCACATTGGCAAAACACACAGAACGACAAAAGTAAACATAACATCACGCCTTTTATCCCCGAAGGGGTAGGTAGAGGTGTACATTATGCCACTGTACAATGTAACACCCACTTTTCACTATTTATGTTATGAGTCCCATGTAATAGGGAACAAAAGTTGTTGCGGAAAACCTAACGGGTAACCGGGGCTCCGGCTCGACGTGCAGGAGAAGGAACGGGGTGGTTTTTAGTCAGTAGGTAAGAGTCTGACACTCCCTCCCGCCTCACCCAGGCGGGAGCAGTAATTCGATGATTTCCCCTCTTAAAAAAAAAGGGAACAAAAGTAAACATAGTGTACAATGAACGGTCTGGTCGCTCAGGGCGATGTCTTACAGGCAACCTTTGGATGGAAAATCCTTTGCTATTTATTATTCTAAACAATAGATACCTATAGAAAAGAACCGAGTCTGAAACTCCATAGTTAGGTGTTTATTTTTTAAATCTTTCGTTATTCTAGGATACATTGAAATAAGCAAAGAACTGCCTTTTTAGGCGAAAGGTGAAACTGTCTCACGCTTTAGTCTGTAACTTAGTGTTATTGAAAAGCTGTCTCGATGTCCAAACCAAACCGAATTTAGTCATCTAAGCACGATTCTGTTCCAATTGATGAAATCTCTAAATCGGATCGATCTTATGTAATCCAAGGTGACTTCTAGATTTAAAATAATTTTAAACTATCAGACTAAAGAAATAATTCTTAAATTCATTTGAACAATTAGGTTTACTTCTGTATGGTCAATTTATTGGTACCTTATTATGTCTTGGCGATGCGCCACCGCACATAGCCACGTGTCGCTTTTGACGAAGTTATTGGTACAATTTTAGGTGAAAGATATATTTATACAATTTATTTTGATGCATTGTTTTACACAATGAATTCGTAAGACTTAAATAATAATCTATTTTAAGACCCATTATTTTCTGATTAAGGATGGAGGATGATACAATGACCCCGAAATATATTTACTTTACCAAAAAAAAAACACAGCATTACATCACGCCTTTTATCCCCGAAAGAATAGAGGTGAACATTATGCCACTGTACAATGTAACATCCACTGTTCACTATTTATGTTATGAGTCCTATGTAATAGGGGGTTAGCCTATTGTATGGGACTGCCTCGTTGGCCGAGTGATCGCAGGTGCGACTGACGGGCAAGGGGTCTCGTGTTTGATTCCCGGGTCGGGCAAAGTATTACTGAGTTGTTTTTATAACATCTCAGTAGTAGCTACGACTCTGGAATTGTGCCCGGTATATGGAAAAAAGAAAAAAAAAATATAAAAAGAAATCACTGTCGACCTAATAACTACTTCTTTCTCTTCTGGCTGATGTCTAAGATTTTTAGTCACTCACTATAATTTTGTGCAACATCCCTTTTTATTTACATGCACATCGATTTACTCTAGTATTTATTTATCTATTCTTTTTGTGATTAATTGAGTCAAAAAGGAAAGACGATTTTCACAACAGCTAGTCGGGTAACCTTTGCAGATGCAAAGGTTACCCAGACCCAGATGGGTCTAGCTGGACTGATTGATCATAATATTATAATGTAAGTAGTTGACTTACCATCGGCACGCCTCTCTCATCTGGTGGTTCAATGTGCTTGTCTTCGAGTGTAAAGAACACGGACACCGTGGTTTGGGGTATGGGGTAGGAGACTGTTGGCTGGCTGAATATTGCCTGTAATAGAACACCACATAATAATAATGAACCCTACGGACATATACTTTATATCAACAGCCTAAAGTGTTTACTGCTAAGGAAAGGTCTCTTCGCCCACGGAGCAGAAAGGAAGGATATCTGCTTTACGGTACCTAAAACCTACTTAACGTACCTACCAATTATAGGATTTCCTCATAGCAACAAAATGGTGAGTACATTAATCAATAACATTTATTTCATACGTAATACATGAAACAAACCACAGATTAATAGGTAATAGGTACATTCATAGAATCACCTACCAACTGATTTTGTTCTACGTCATTGTAAACCCGTAGGCACCTACTTTGATGTTGCTAAGGAAAAACTAATAGAAAAGCTGAATGCTGAATATGGTTATACACGCTGATAACGTAATAATCAACAGATTTTAACAATACCAATTTTTTTGTAATAATTTTTATAGGCCATGAGAACACACATTTTACAAAATGCGCAAATTAACTCGTGTACCGGTTTTATAGACACAATTAAAGAACAATAGGTCGCGGTCACCGGTGACCGCTTGGTGTTTGACAGTTTAATGCGCTTTTTCCATACTTTTTTCAAGACTTTTCTCTCACCTCGAAATAGTAATACTGCGACACTTCATCTTTCGACCCTCCCATGTACCTAACGATGTACATAAAAGTATCAGCAAGCTTCCATTTCTTTCCTATAGTATCATAGATGAATTTCTCGCTGGTAACAGCGTAGGGTGGTCCAATATCCTTCAAGGACAGTTTAGCATTGCAGGCAAAGTCACGACTGTCTGAAATTCGAGTCAAGATATAGAGTGACAAGCACAATTTGTTGGTTCACTGGAACTGGCCAATCAGAGCGCCGAATGTCATCGATACTATGACGTTACGAATACGATAGTTATTTGTGCTTGGCACTCTGATTAATCGGATCATAATAAATTAAGTACTGAAGATGAAAATAAAGAGAAAGTTAATTTAACCAAATCATCATCATCATCATTATCATCATCAACAGTCGGAAGACGTCCACTGCTTGACAAAAGCCACCCCCTTAGTCCTCCACGTCGAACCGCAGCTTGCCACCTGCATCCACTGACTACCCCCGACTCCGGCGATGTCGTCAGTCGATAAATTTAACCAAAGCAGTAAACTTATTTGGAAGATGTTCAGAATAAAAAACCCAAGGGAGTGTATACATCTTCTAAAAGGTACACCATAGTTGAGAATATGGCAATAGCATTTTCATGTGGGAGGGCTGGCCAGCCCGACCGGTGTGGTCCACATGCGTTGTGTTTCAGCGTGTGACTAAATTTACCGAAGACCCAATGGCCCAAAAGATAGTAGACCTAGTAATGCCAATACCCAACCCAAAGACTCTTTAGGCTATCCACGCCTGGTGCAACTCAACTGTTGTTGCCATAGACGTAACTATCGCTAACCATTAAGCAACCCTCTGCTCGTTTACCGCCCTATACTTTATAAAGTTTTACATTGAATTTAACAATCTAATGTGGAGTATTTTTATATTTTGCACCATTCAGACAATGAAATAAGTACTAACTTGCAAGTTGTTTTAATGTTTGTCTAACTCCCAACTTCTCTTTAGCCCGATTTATCACTGAAACTACGGTGTCTATCGCCTGTTCTTCATAAGATTTGATCTCGGGAATATTCATTTTGATTTGTTAATAATGATTTTTATTGTTGATAATGTTTTCTGACAAGTCTTCAGATGGTTATGTCAAGTCATTGTGATTGATCTTTTTGTTATGTAGTTTGATATTTGTCTTTGGCTTATGGAAGTTTCGAATTTTGAAAAAGGTTTTTACTGAACGGTACTACTTTTGTTCAGTTTGTCCAATCCAGTCCCCTCTATAGTTCTATCGGTATTTTCTCGGTTCAATCGTTTCTGATACGTCATCTTCGTACTACATGGCAACTTATCAAACTAATCTGATCTGATACTCAAATCTTTCGGATGATTTTTCTTCCTATTTAAAATTCGCAGTAACAGCATAAAGTCTACAATCTTTAGTATTAGCACTAAAGTGGAGTTTCGTAGAAAGACAGGGCATATTAATTTTGATATTATATTCCTCGTACATACGTATATCTCCTATGTAAGCAGACAAACCACATATTCCTTATATGGGTAGGTACATTAATTAATTGGATTCATTTACCTATTTCCTCAGTTAAGTTTCCAGTATATACGTCATTATATTGTTAGTAGTGTAGGTACTGCATTCACACGTACCCTTTCCTGTTATAATTACGCACTGTTAACGGTAGTTATCCATGGTTATGGGAAAATTTATTGAAAAGTGTCTACAGAAGCCTATGCTGTAGATACTGTCTTGTTTAAAGATATGAAGTTAAATATTCCATGGCGGGTAATAATAAATAATGAACAAACTATAATTCCTTATAATGTGTGCTTTATACTTTCTAAGATTATTCAGACACCACTGACAACCGATAAAGGAAAACATCGTGAGGAAACTTGGGCTTATAATTTCTTATTGTAAGTTTGAAATCACCAATCCGCATTGAGTAAGCGTGGTGATTAATGCTCAATCCTTCTCCGTGTGAGAAGAGGCTTTGCTCAGTAGTGGGCATTATAGGCTGTTGATGTGATATGATCTTGTGGTTGTATATAGTATTGTTGCTGTACAAGGAGTCACCAGTTAAATTCCTGTGTTTTTTTATTTTGATCGCAAAAATTTGGTATCAACAAGGAAATCAAAAAGATGTGCTTCATATGGTCTTTCTATTTCAATTTAGTTTAGACTACGCAATTATAATGATAACACAAAATACTGCAGTAATTGATTTCTCCGATAAATATCTATTCATATTATTCAAATTATATCATTATTATAGACCACGTGTTGAGGTCCTATGAACACCTGCAGTATTACATAACTTGATAATATTATCTTATATTATTCTACATTAAGTACCCGGGTAGAAAAAAAATTGTGTTTTTTTTTTGTTTGACCCAGGAATCGAAACTGAGCTACATCATCATCATCATCATCACCATCATCATCACCATCATCATCAACTGGAAGACTACTACTGGTCAGAGGCCTCCCCTGACACATGCGACCCTTTGCTCGGTAATTGCTACTGCAACGACTTGACCAATAATGAAGTCTATTCTATGTAACCACGAAGTTGTTTAGGTACGGTGCATAAAAATTCTTTTAAATTCCGAAGTATCAAAAACATATTATTATTTTCCTCTTAAACTAACAATGAAATGTCAATCGAATTTAATCCTTACTAATTAATTAATTAAGTACAGAATTAAAACAATAATCTCTTATCATAATCATTCATAAAATTAAATCGTCTGCAATGCCGTTAATAGGGAAAATGATGACAACTAGGCTTGCTTGGCGGTGTTCATTCGTTGCCTTCGTTGCAGATATATTTTCCAACAAAGTTACTGGTCAAGTGCGAGTTGGACTCGCACACGGAAGGTTTTATAACTATCTAAATATGACACATATTTTGACATTATTTCGTTGTAGCTATTAGGGAGTATAGGCATAAACATAATATCACGTCTTTTATCCCCGAAGGGGCAGGCACATTACAGCACTTAATATCACTGTACAATGTAACACCCACTTTTAGCTATTTATGTTATGAGTCCCATGTAATAGGGGGTGAGCCTATTGCCATATACCGGGCACAATTTTAGATTCCGTGCTACTACTGAGATTGTTTTTAAAACCCAGGAGTACTCTGCTGGACCCGGGAATCGAACCCGAGATCCCTTGACCAGGCAATGAGGCAGTCATACGTTTCACAGGGAGTATAGAGAGAGTATTATATCATCAACTATGCAATGTGTCTTGAGTGTCGATTTCCGCACGCAATAATTGTTTGTTCATTTGATCTACAAGTCGTTGTTCTGGCTCTGGTAGTCAAAGTCAAAGTCAAAATCATTTATTTCAATTAGACCAGGAAGGCACTTTTGAACTTCAACAAAATTTTATAGTGAAGCTATTTACTCATTCCAAGGTGTAGATTCCTATGGAGAAGAACGACCAAGAACACCAACTTTTTTGTTACTTTTTTCAAACAGATTCAAAATACAAATTTTAAGTCAAAGAGTTTTGTTGGTTGAATTGTGTGAGGACAATGTAACACCAATCTCAAATCAAAGAGATCGAAAAAGAAAATAACCCTAGGGACAATAACATATGCATATAATACAGTCTGGACCTGACCAGTCCCAGTAAAATTGTATGGAAAAGTACCCACAATAGATGACGAAATCTTAGAGTGAGGCCACATCGTAAAAAGCCTTTAGCTTTTTAAGGAGGGAAAATCATCCAATGACTTCTCTCGCCTGGGTGAGAGAAAGTTTTTTTTTTAAATGGGTCAAGCCCGCCACAACCTCCCTCTGCAACTCCTGTAAGCCAGGATCTACAGTAGATACAACCATGAAAACACCGGAATACTGAAGTCCGGTGCGTCCCAGGGACATGAGTAACTGTTTTGGTTCCCGCAACGAAGTGAATCAGAAGATATTATAAGAGGAGAAGAAAGAAAGAGACGAGAGGGAGTGTCAGACTCTTACTGACTAAAAACTACCCCGTTCCTACTCCTTTGTACTTCGAGCCGGAGCCCCGGCAACCTCGTTTTAAAGGCCACGGAACTCTAAAAAAGAAGCAATAATCTAAATGCGATAAGATCATGATTACCAGGTAATCATCAGTCACAATATCGCGTGATTACCACGCTATACATATTGAGATATCAGATCATCAGATCATCGATCATCAGATTTTAATTGGAGGCTATTTGACGCAATTATGTATTTTAATTGATCCATTCAGGAAAACCGAGCGTGTTAATAATCTTGTTTTGTCCTGAATGGTAAAATGGTCGTTTTATCAATATTGTTTTCCTGAATGAAGGAAAAATGAGTAATTTGCTAGTCTTTCCAGTCTGATAACATAACATAACATCACGCCTTTTATCCCCGAAGGGGTAGGCAGAGGTGCACATTATGCCACTGTACAATGTAACACCCACTTTTCCCTATTTATGTTATGAGACCCATGTAATAGTATAATAATATAATTCCAAACTCCGTGCTACTGCTGAGATTTTTTTTAAAACCCATTAATACTTTGCCCGACCCGGGAATCGAACCCAAGACCCCTTGCCCGGCAGTCGCACTTGCGACCACTCTGTCAACGAGGCAGTCACATATAACATAATTATTATGTACATAATATTTACTCAAAAGGCAGAGAACGCATTTGTAACTCCTCTAATCTATGGTGGTGCTTATCGTTTATAAGTAGGCAAATTACTCTGCCCGTACCGGTCACCGAAACCGAGATTCCTTGCACCGCAGTCGCAAGCGATCGTACCATTCGATAATCCTAATTATGTAATCATCTCATCAATTCTCCTCACTGTCACCAAAATAGGCATTTCGGAATTCTTTCGCAAACTCTAAAGGCTTACATTCACCAGAAGCCATGGCGAATGACTCACCATACACCATAGTACCTATTTACTTTCGCGATGACGCATATAAATTAAACATTAAAGTTGCGCTCGCGACGCTGCCGCCGTCGGTGCGCGCGCCGATTGTTGAGTCATACTACTGCCTGGCGCTAAGAGGACACTGTGTAGTAACGTAAACTGATTTCTTAGTATAGCCATATAGTGACGGTATAATGCATTTGTAGCCTACTCTGCTCTTCATGGGTGTTTTTAAACGGACTGCATATTTAACATATGTAGATTGAGGGCAATAGCGCTCTGGTAATGGTCGAAATTAATAACCAATATCCAAAACGTGTGACTTAAGATCGATTTTTAACCGACTTCAACAAAAGAAGGAAGTTCCACCCACGACAAAGGAATAAATCTCAGTGTGGGGCAACGTTTTAAATAATAAAAACAATTCTGTCACTACAAACTCTTTGTAAAATGACAGTGATGGCCTTTCAGAGGCCTTAGTACGAGTTTGTTTTACGTATAAAGTATTCGAAACGAGTACGCGTTCGGCGCTCTGATTGGTTAGTTCATTCGAGCCAGCCAATCAGAGCGCAGAACGCGTACTCAGTAGCTCAGTATTCGGACGTATACCAACGTAAGTACACCAGCACTAACGTGGGTTAACTTCTTAGTAATTCGGTCGTAATGTACTTAGTATTACGTTTATAATGGCTCATCCTTAGGTATGCAAACTTTACTGTCATTCTCTAACCCTTTAATAACCGGGTCAGGGTTCAAATTGGGTATTTCCAACTCTATCTCTTTATTTAATAGTGTTTTACTGCTATCTCCAATGCCAACCATGCCTCAATATCTGATGTAACATGGGAATTACTAGACACGGTGGGGCACGTGAGGAAACGAACCTCCTCACGCTCCAGCTATCGCGGGACTAACTCCGGGCGTCGGAGATCGCGCTACGATCTTCGGCCACCATAAGTACGGGTCTGCGGATAGCTATACTCGGAATTTTAATTCGATTCCAGATTTGACAATTTCAGTGTTGCAACGTTATGACAAGTACTAAATAGTGACGTTGTGAAATTATTCGATATGGAAATGCAATATTTCTGGATCGATTCTTCTCGTTTATAATTTTACTCTTGTAAACTACGTACATCAGGAAACTAAATATTTCTGA